CCAGATCAGGTGAGTAAGGAGGGTGTTCTAATACAGTGATTTGTTTCCTGGCTAAAAACTCCCTCACAGACAGGGCCGTGTGAGCTGGTGCACCGTCGTGATGCAAGAGCCATGAATTGTTGGCGAAAAGTTCAGGCCGTCTAACTTTTTCACGCAGCCTTTTCAGCACTTCCGAATAGTAAACTTGGTGAACTGTGTGTCCAGTTGGTACAAATTCCTAATGAATAATCCCTCTGATATCAAAAAAGGTGAGAATCATCGTTGCAACAAGTTCACGCACTTAATTGTCAAACCTGGTTGATAGGTTAGGGACTTGCCCAAAGACCCTCTAGCTGGTGAAAGGAATCTGGCTATTGAATTCATACTGTCAAACCATTTTTTTCCCCCATCTCTATAGATACCAGTGTGCAAAAAAAAAAAAAGTGAATCTTCAGCTGCGTGTGGCTTGCTTTTTCTCACAGCCTTCTGTCCTGCATGTGATTCAAAGAAGGGAGGGACAGGTGTTAGGTCTCCACCACCGGGGGTTTCGAGCTGGTGGTTTGCTCACTCCAAGACATGGCTATGGTTATGCCCCTTGCTATCTCTGCACTGCTTCCTCATCCATAAAATAAGGCAACCGCGAAATGAGGCAATCTCGAAAAGCCCTTCTCAGGCTAACACTCTAAGATTCTGTTCTAGGACATCCTACGTTTAGAAGGCACCTTCTCATAAGCTATATGATTAAATAAGAATGGGTTGGAAACCTTAGAACAAATTGTGGCCGAGCAATGACTCAGTCTTCGTAAGTAATCCTTTTGGGGACGAAAACTTCCAAGATGCTTGCCCAGCATTTCTTAAGGGGAAAAAAAAAGTCCTTGTTCGGTATCTAATATTCATACAATGATTTGTGTTTGACTTCAGGTTGCAAGTTATTCCTTAGAAAAGGCAATACAAGAATAGAGCTGTTTGGACAAGGGATCGAATACGTAATTCTGTTCGACTTGAGGGAACAACCTGGAGTGGGATCATGGGGTGGATGTGCATGGAGGTTTCCGATTGGCTAGACAACGGGTCCAGTATTTAGACCTGTCATTGGTGAGCTGTGTCCCCCAGACCAAGTCACAGTACATTTGCAAGCACCAGATACTGCATGTGGTGTAGTGAATTGAATTATGCCCCCTCTACACTGCCCCCCCCAAAAGGATAGGCTGATATTGTAAACCCTGGTACCCATAATTGGGACCTTATTTGGAAATCAGGTCTTTGCAGATGTGACCAAGTTAATATGAGTTCCCAGTGGATTAGGGTGGTTCTACCTCAATGACAGGTGTCTTAGAAAAAGAGAAAGGTGGACGCAGGCACACAGGGTTGGAAGAAGTCCATGCGAAGATGTAGAAAAGGGTTGGAGCAATGCCAAGGAGTCCCAAATATCGACAACCATGACCAGAAGCCAGGAGAGACCCAACGAAGAATTCTAACCAGAGCTTCAGGCAGCACACGGTCCTGCCAATAAGCTTGATTTTGGGTTTCTGGCCTCTAGAACGTTGAAAGACTAAACCTCTGCTGGTCTAAGCCACCACATTTGTGGTGGTTTGTGAACGCAGCCCCGGGAAACTCACGCCAGGGGCTATGCCTACATGGTGAGGGTGAAGTAACAAAGAGATAAGACACTCCGTCAAAGTTCTAGAACCTTCTATGGGGAAGATCCTTGCTGCGGACCAAGTTTTATCAACAGCTGGAGTCTCCCCAGCTGCTGTGTGGACTGCCACGTTGTGCCAAAAGCAACTGTACTCGTCTTGGGTCAGCCTTTTGTGTTGTGGGAAAAAACCAAACAAACAAAATCTTTGGTTGGCTTCATGGCTACGTCAGACTGCACAAGTCTGACGATGTGTTTGAATGAACAATTCGATGTTCATTCGCTCGATGAACGATGGCTCGAATGAACAATTTTTCGACTTTACGATGGTGAGAATGCAATCATCACTCCACAGAAACCGTACTTCGAATATTGGATGTAGATGTTTCCCCCCGCTCCGCCCAAGGCTGGTGACATTTCAGATAAAAGACTCTGTCATGATCCTGGGCAGGGGCAGTGAAATGCAGCTCGCAGGCAGGCTCTGGGATCGTACTGGTCAACACCAACCCTGTCCAATGTGCTGTGTTGCCAGCATTTTTTTTTTTTGGATATTGTGTTTTCGCATCCCATCGTATCTGCAAAACACCCATTTTGTCTCCTGCGTCTGGTGAGAAGAATAAGGCAATTTCTCTTGAGATAACACCCAAGATAATTGCCCACCCACAGCTCATGTAAGTGTCTGAGTGTGTTTGAGGTAGGTCAGGTGTATTAAATGCCGTTTCGACAGATGATATTGCCAACTTAACGATGGGTTTATTTGGGATGTCACCCCGATTGTACGTCAAGGGGAGTCTGTAGACCTTTTTAATGTATTGTTATTTAAATGGTGGGGGTTTGCCTCTCCCGGCTATCAAGTTCGATGCACATGGATCCTGGCTTGTAGAGTCAGTTTTGAAGAGCAAGAGAACCAATGGGACAGATGGGTAGCAATGCTCCTTTCCTTGCACTAGAAGCCAGGTTTAAAAACTTGGAACGTAAGCTTGAGCACCAAGAAACCCCCCCAAAAAAAACCAAAACAGATGTGCATGGAGATTGTTAGGACCAACAGACATTTAATAACCTGGAATGGTAGATGAGTTTATTGCCAAACGCACTCCTTGCACATTTCAAAGGGTCAACGTTGGCGGCTTCTGGCTGCCCACTGTCCATCGTGGCTTCTCATCAGGCCTCCAGGGTGGAGACATCCCCTACCTTGTCACACATACAGAATGGAAACACCCCACAGCAGGGCCGCAGCCATATACTGTCCTCATTCAGTTCCACCCCAAGCTGCTGCTCGACCGGGGTGAGGGTTTTCTTGTGCTCCTCCAGGGCGTCGGCCACCGTGTTGATCACTAAGTCATAGAGGGGCTCCGTGTCCCCTGTTAGCGGTGTGGACTCAGAGGGGTCTCTGGACAGATCGAAGAGCAGCGGAGGGTCATGGTAGGTGACCAGGTCCCCTGAACACGTACAGTACTTGGTCTCATAGCACGCTTTAGCGCCCGGTGGCTGGAACACGGGTGTCACATAATGGACCTTCCACACTGCCTGGCCTGGAAAGAGAAGACACGTCACACGCGTGCACCCTGCTGTGCCCACTGCCCGTGTGCTCGGCCCCCTTCTCCAGCTCCCTTCTGGTCTTTCTCCTTGCCCACGAGTCCACGCTAGCGATCAGCCTTTAGAACAGGGGCATCCCCTCGGGGAACGTCACCCGTGTTTTCCCAGCAGTCGTGAGTCCTAGTTCTCCAATTTTACGTTTCTTGAGGTGACCTCCCCGCTTTTCTGACGAAAAGCAAATCTCAAAAAACATGTCTGAGAGGGGCGTTCCAGTGGGGTCCCCTGGACGAAAAGGGCTGGTTTGGGGGGAGGGTGGGGAGGAGAAAACGGGAGAAAGCATCGAGGGTCTGCCTGAGTGACCCAACTCGTGGTGTCCACAGGGACCAGGGGCTGATGTACTTACTGTCCTTTGGGTTCCAGCGGGCGGCGTGGAGGAACGACCCGCAGTAGTGGAACATGAACTCGTGGTCTGATTCCTGGACCTTCCCCTGAAGCAGGGGCATTAAGTTTCGGCCGTCAATCACCCTGCAGACACACACGAAAGGAGATAAAGCAAGGGACGTTGTCTCTCAGGGCGATCAGTGCGTTCCCCGGTATTCCCCAGAGAACGGTGTGCTCCCGAGAATTTAGGAAAACCCATGCATGCTCTCAGGGAGACAGAGGCAGACAGAGAGAAATAGACACATTTTTATGGAGGAGTGAGAAGACGGAAAAGTGCGTGAATGCATGCCCCACCTGCCGCGTGCTATGGCCATGACCACAGGTGGTGACAACAGCTCGGAGTCTCTGATGACTTCACAGATCACAATTTCATGAGCAGCTGTATCGCTCCCCTGAAAAGGGGACTTGATAGAATCTCTAGACAACTGTATGCTTTTTGGGGTCTCATATCAGAAAATGTATCTTATACCTCAATAATAATAAAATCAATAATAATAAGACCTCCCTCATAATAGAAAATAGACTAATAAGTCCCAGATAATCGTAAAAAAAAAGTGATCATACAAGAAAGAAAACCATTTTTAGTCTCACATAAAACCATGGCCTGTGTTGATAACCGCTTCAAAAGCTACTGGAACTCATAGGTAAATTTAGCAAGGTCTTGCATTCAAGACCAACTGTGAACAAAAATCAGTTTTATTTCTATATTTTAGCAATGCACATCGGGATACTACTCTTTAAAAAGTAACATTTATTACAACATTAAAAAACATGAACTATCTAGGGATACCTTCTTCTTCTTCTTCTTTTTTTTAATGTTAAAAGTTTCTAGGCTGAAAGGCAGAAAACATCCGAAAGAAAAAAATAAATGGAGAGATAGACAATGTTCATGGATTGGAAGATGCAAATCGTGAAGATATCAAGTCTCCACAAATTGATCTATAGATTTAATGCAATCTCAATTTTTAAAAATCCTGGAAGGCCTTTTTTTCTTTTTTTTTGTATAAATTGAGAAACTTATGGCAACATTTGTAGGGGAAAACAAGAAACCTAGAATCACCTAAACAATTTTTTTTGGGAAAAAAAGAAAGTAGTTTTCACACTCACACAACATGATTCCAAAATTTACAAGAAAGCTAGAGTACTGAAAGACATAAGGGTAGACATATAAATCAAAGGAACAGGGTACAGTCCAGAAATAGACCAATGCATAGAGTTTCAGTTAATTTTTAACAAATGTCCAAAGGAATTCACTACAGGAAAAACAGTCTTTCAATAAATGGCACTAGAAAAATTGTAATAACATGGTACAGTGTCAGATGGTGACTAGACATATCATGGTGATCACTTCCTTAGGTATATAAATGTGGTGCACACCTGAAACTTATATAATATTGTGTGTTAGCTATATTTCAATCAATTTTTTTAAAGAAAAAAAGATTGCAACCTATACCTCCTCTAGAAGAAAATGTAAGAGAAATTTTTGGTAACCTTGAAATAAGAAAATGCTCTTTTAGACACAGCATAATAATCACAATCTATAAAAGAAAAAAACACACAATAAATTGACCATTATCAAAACTGAAAACTTCTGTTTTTCCAATGACAGCATAAAAAAAAATGAACAGGCAAGCCACAAACTGGAAAAAAAATATTAGCAAAACACCTATCTGATAAAGAAGTTGCATCCAGGCTGTGTAAAGAGCTCTTGCAATTCAACAATAAAAAAATTAAACACTTTCCATTGAAAAACAGAGAAAAGGTTTGAACCGACTCTTCACAAAGAAGAGATATGGGTGGTAAATGAGAACACACAGAGTTGTTCAACGTTATCAGTTACCAGGGAAGCACCAATTGGCACCACAGTGAGATTGTCCTCAAGATTAGAATGGTGAAAATTAAAAACACTGACAATACCAAGAGTTGTCAAGGACACGGAGCGATGGAAACTGTCATTTATTGCTGGTTTTATTTACAGCCATTTTAAAAATCAATTTGACACTTTTTCATAAAGTTAAACCTATACTTATACTATGACCCAGATCTCCCACTTCTGGCACTGGACCCAAAATAACTAAAAAATCGATGGCTGCACAAAGACCTCTGTGCAAATGTCCAGTGAAACTTGGCTCACGACAGCCAAATCTATTTCTGCAAAGCATGCATGCCTTTGTCTTCCCTTGAAAAGTGAAATGGAGAGGGAATGAAGATAAGATATTTTTATTGCTAATTCTGAAAAAAGGAAAAATCATTTCCATGAGGGAATCCTAATCAAAGCTAAAAACACAATATTACTTATGATTGAGTTTCTCCATAGCCCTTTGTAAGTTCAAAATATAGACTAGTAACCATGCCCCAAAGTCAATGTACCTCATTAATACATTGCAAAAAAAAATTTATGACCGCGATAGGCTTAGCAATTTACGTGTAGTACTAATGTGATCATCTTTCTTTAAAAAGTGAATAATTTACCTGAAATTGATACTCTTCTTCTAAGTAAAGGAGAGCTCTATTTAGCTATTATTTTATACGAATTCTCAGTAAATCCTATTGTCAGAATCTAAAGAACAAAATAAGCAACAGCAACACAACAAAACACCCAAAACAGAATGGAAACAGTCACAGGGATGTAAAGTACAGCCCATGGAATAGAGTTAATAATATTGTAATAACTATGTGTGGTGTCAGGTGAGGGCTAGCGTAATTGGGGGGATCACTTCGTAAGTTATATAAGTATCTAAGTGCTGTGCTGTACACCTGACACTAACATAAAATAATATTGAATGTCAGCAATAATTGAAAGGAAAAAAAAGAATAAAATAATATTGAATGTCAGTGATAATTGAAAGAAAAAAAAAAAGAACGGATTTTTTTTTTAATGAGGAAGCGTTTTGTGTATTTCTGATTAGCTTTTGGACCTATTCTACTTTGGTTCAGAAGGAAAGCAGCTCTGTCACATGAAGAAAGAAACCTTAAAATAAGTCTTTGGACTTTGAAGGGAGAAATGGCAGTAAGTTGGAGCTACTGAATTTGCTTTCTGAGCTGCTATCGATGAATAATCAACTAGGTCGGTTATGCCAGGGGGTACAACAACACACCATGAAGAACTCATCCTGATGGAATTAAAATATTCAGGATCAAGTTCAAAGTATCTCTCGAATGCCTTCCGTTCACCTCAGCCTTCTGCACTTTGCACACCAGACACTAGGGAATTATTTTCTCTCTTATATGGAAGACTGAGTTTGACCAGCCACGTTCCTCTCTCTCCAACTTTTCCTATCTTCACGTACCTCCCAAATAAAGGCTTACAAAGTGTCTAAGGTGGGCCATCAGAGTGCAACGTCGATGCCTGGAACATGAATAACACTCAACAAACAGCCATATCCAAAGGTAACAATTACCAAGGTGCTGGGGACAAAGTGTACCCGTTGGGTTTGAGTTTGTCTCCTTTGTCCCGAATCCTCTCAAGAGAAAGAAAAATGAAGAAGAAAAAGAAGAAGAAGAAGAAGAAGGTTTGTTAACAGATCGTGTTACTTGACATCACCTGTCCTGAGGGAGTGTTCCTCCCGTCACTGCCGCGACAGTTGGTACAATATCCATCAAGCTTGTAGGTTCCTCAATTTCACTTCCAGCGGGCAGTACCCCGGGCCACCGGACAATCCCAGGGACATGAATTCCACCTTCCCAGCCAGCCATGCCTTTCCCACCTACAGGGCCAGGCAAGGAAGTTCCAGGTAAAATAGCCACTGTGACAAGAGGCTTTACAAATCAACATCAAGAAAAACAATGTCTCCTCAGCGTCTCCCACGTGCAGAGAGCTGGTGGGGGCAACAGTACGTGTCCAGGGAACTGTGTTTTCTTGGGCAGCTGATAGATTGTTGATTAAATAACTAACGCACCGTGTGCTCTCTGCCTAGAATGCTGTTTTCCCAGGGACGGACCCAGGGACAGACCCTAACGTTGCCTCCAGCTTCCTTCACACCGTTCTCGACGAAGACGCTATTGAAAACAGCTACGTCATCCCAGAGTGGTGTTTGGCTCTATTTATCTCCATCCCTTTCTGATCGACTAATCTGTGGTATGTACCACCTGCTGCCATATCAGATCATTTACTTTTTTTTTTCTGGCATTGTCTCCTTCCACGAGAATATGAATTCCATTAAGGTTGGGATTTTTGTGTGTTTCGTTCATTCCCGGGTCAAGCACGCCGAGAACGAATGGAACAGAATAGTACGGGAAAATGCTAATGTACTGCTGAAGCCAGGTTGTCATTGAGAATGAAAGCAGGGCGTCCTGATGTCGCCAGGAGAATGGCCACCCTGCAGTGCTAACAAATTTTTATTCTTTCATTAGGTTTCTCCAAGTAGAGTTGAACTCACAGCATGGAGATATGTTTAACGTTCTCACAAGCAAAAATATATAAAAAGTTCCTTATTAATGTGTTTTGTTGTCTAAGCACACCCTTTCATCGTGCAAGCCCTAAGCTGCAGACACGGACACCCTTCCGTCAGAGTGGGGCAAAAACTTCCTCTCCTTCCTACAGAATTTATCATGTCCTTCTGAACCCAAGATGATAGACTCCGCGTTTGCACAAATAAGGGCTTATTTTCCTCTAGCAAACACTTTCGAATCTCTCTCATTCCCTCTGATCAAATGTGCTGAATGTGTTCCAGATAATTTTCTTACACCGTCAGGATACAGACACGTTCACAGACCGGGTCAATGTGGCCGGTGGGGGATGGGCAGGTGTTCATGGACCGAGGGTCACAGTAGGACATGGAATCATTCTCGGTGACTTGAATTGTGAAGCCTGGGACAAGCTTGGTGATGTTTCTGGAGGACATCCCTAGAGTTTCTTCCACACCTCCTGCTGGCCAAGGAGCCCCTGGAGTTTGTCCTCTGTGCCCCCATGTCTCCTTATTCAATCTGCTGTCAGTCTTCTTGTAGATATAATGAATGATTACTCAACCCATGTAAAGAGCTCCTTAAGCCATCTGCTTACATTAATACTCTGCAATCTCATTAGATGATGACCATTTCTAGAGATGCCTTCTAGCACGTCCTACACGTGACTGAAGGTCAATTTCCTTGGGTTTTGGCCCTGCCATTTATTTTTACCAAGCATCAATCAGTCAATATCAATCAATCAATCAATCAATCAATCAAACTTGCTCAGTTGGACGTGCATTCATCTCGTCACGTCACGGATGTTTATCCCACTGAGAAAAGGAGACCTTCCTCTCAAGCAGACCCCACGTTTGATTTTGCCTCCTCACCTTTGTAGACTCCGTTCCATCCACCCAGCTGGGCGTGGCCCAGCCTGGCCTCCAGGTGACCTCCGTGATCTGACGTCAAGTAGACGAGGGTGTTGTTCCTCAGCCCGAAATTGTCAATGGCACTGAGAAGCTTGCCTGCAAAATAAAAAAGGGATGCATAACCCTGAGGACATTTGGCGACTGGGGCCATCGCAGTGGTCCCAAGAGCTGCCCGTTTCTTTGGGAGTCATTGCAGGCATGGTTCTCCTCGAAGACGCCCCATGTTACACTCCCAGGAGCCGTGCGTGAGAGCAACCGTCTTCTCCGTTCCCCACCAGCATCTCCTGATGAAGGCCTGATGGCGTCAAATCAGGGGAAAATGGGTTTCTCCCTATGTCGACACTCACGTTTATACTTCCAATATATAAGTGATGTTAGGCTCTTGCTAACTTTTTTGGGGGGGGCACAGAGAGAGGGGTTCTTGTGTGTCTATTGTTGATGTGTAAAGACCCTGCTTATGAATGAATTAAAACAATGTCATATGGTTGCTAACATTTCCTCAGTGTGCAAGTGGCTTTACGTAGGTTATTTACGCTGCATGCTTTCGACATGATATCGAATCTAAAGATAGCTGCCTTTTTCAAGTTTTCCATGGCTTTTACTAGCTCTGTTCCTCACCCAGAGAGAAATGTAATACTTAGGTTCCTTCTACCTTGTGCTTAGCATTATTCGGTGTCCTTAATTTGCATGGAAAAGTGTGCCAGTTGAATAGGTGGTGTTTTTTTTTTCCTAAATCAACTGTGTGAGTTTCCTAACTCTATTACATCAAATTATTACAAGCTTCACGTCTTAAAACAATGGAGATTTTTTTCCCTCCTCACATTTTTGGAGGTCAGAAGTGCTAAGACGTTGGATGTTGGATGTTGCCAGGGTTTCTCTCTCTCTCTCTCTCTCTCTCTCTCTCTCTCTCTCTCTCTCTCTGTCTGTCTCTCTCGGCTTTTTGCCTCTTGCTACCTCCTGGTGGCCAACCTTTAGCTGCATGCCTCCAGTCTCTGCCACCTTTGTCCCATGGCCTTGTCACTGCTTTGTGTGTCTGTCTTCACATGGTACGCTGCACGGTGTGTTTCTATCTCTGTGTGTCTCTTCCTTTCCTCTAAGCACACCCACCATATTGCATGAGGGCCCATCCCAATGACCTCATCTTCAAAGACCCTATTTCCAAATAAGGTCCTCTTCACGATACCAGCACTCATGGTGGACTCGTATCTTTTTAGGAGACAATTCAATTCATGTCAGCGACTCTCCCCAGGGTATCGCATCCCAGCCTCCTTCATGTAGAAAGCTTCCTTGATCCTAAGTCCTTCTCCTCATGGGACCTGCGTTCAGGCTATCTGTTTTTGCTTCGCTGATAGGAACGTCCAATCCCGCACACATATTTCTGTGTCTGTCGTTTTATTTCCGGTACTGCTTGCTTTGTGATCCCAGAAGCAACCCTCATCCTTGGGACGTTTCCTACCAGTCCGCCCCTCTATGTCCACGTCCTTCTCATGTTGGTTAAGAGAACCCTCCCAGCTCACAGTAATTACGGCTTTCATTAGAAACCCACTAAGCCTCTAGATTAATTTCGGGATAACTAGTATTGTGTTATCTTGTCACTCTTCCCATCCAGAAGGGGGTATGTTTCCACTCATTAACGTTTACTTTTATCAGTGAGTTGTCCTGAATACAACCATTTATTTTTTGAAAGCTTATTTCTGAATGTTTACTGGTTGCTATTGGAGCTACTAAGAATGGTATCTCATCATGTATTGTAACTTGAAATGGGTTATCTTTATTTATTTTATTGTTAAGCAGAGCCATCCTGCCACCTGTTGGCGCTCAGCGGCTGCTCAGCTCAGGCCGGGAATCGAACCGCTGTTGCTCAGAGCTCACATTCTTGAGCGAGCTCTTAACCAACTGAGCCACTCGGCTGGCCCGAAATGGGTTATTTTTAGCATTAAAAAAAGCATTGATTTCCATGGCTATATTTAACAGAAATATTATATCTATATCTATATATAACATATTAACATAATATAATTAATGTAATATATACAGAGGGTGCCAAAAAAATGTATACACATTTTAAGACAGGAAAAACCTGTATTAAAATGACGCTGATGGTCACCACTCTGAGCACCTCTTGTCATTGCGGAAGTCAAACATGACGTGTATTCCTCTTTTGTGATCGGTATATATTGAGTATGACAATTTTAATACAGTTTTTTTCCTTCCTTAAAATGTGCACACATTTTTTGGGGGGCACCCTCTGTATATACGTAGAATATGTATGTGCAATAAACTGATTATACTCATATAATCAGAATTTAGTACAAATATTAACTTCATATTATATATTATGCATGTATTATATATTATGTGTATTACACGAATCTACACATAATGTATTTCATATACATTTCAGTTCATGCTAGAAAGATGTTTCTAGTTTTTCCATAGCCAGTAATTATTTTCTCTCTCTATCTGTCTAAATATTAAGCACAGGAACATCTGATTATTGCTTTAATCTCTAGTATTAAGAACAGAGCAACCCGATACCTGTCAAGGACAGAGCCGCCCACGCTGAAAACCCTAGAGATTTAGCCGATGCTAGGAATATGTGCGCAGGACTTTGTGAGACAGTTTTGCCCGGCCCTGCCCGGTGGAGCTGGCAGAGGGCTGCTGTCATCCTTACACGCCGCACCCCCGAATCCCAACCCCAACCCTCCTTGACTGAGTGCAAACCGGGTCAGCCGAGACCCTGCCCCGAACCCCACCTCCTCGTGAGTGTAACACTCAGCCTCCCCTCCCAGTTCTGAGAAACCTGCTGTTGCAATGCGAACGGCTGACTTTTCTCCCATCTAGGATGGATGAGTAACGCGGCCGCAGAGGTATTTCTCCTGGGAGGGGTAGGGCACGGCCTTGGCATGCCTTGGGTTTGAGGAAGCAGGAAACCAGGCTGGGGGGACAGTCTCTGGAGCGCTCCACATACCTGTGAAATGACAGCCTGTGGGCGTCTCAGAGGTTATGAGGTGCTTCGGAGAAGAGCTTCACTCTCTGTTCACACCGTCTTTACACAACGGCCCCTGAGCTAGAAAGCGAGAGAACCTGGGTTCCCAACCTGGCTCACCTGCACCTGACCTGCTGCCGGCGCCACCAGGCCTCTCGTGGTTTTGCTTCCTTATCTGTCAATAGGGGTCATGATGATGGTAAACGTGGTGCCTGTCGACCTGGAACGTCCACGGGGATCTGTCCAGAGCACCCATTGCATGAATGCCACGGGTCACAGCGTTGATTCAAGCAATACCTCGCATTGTAAGGCTCTGCTATGTGAAACCCACACTAATTAGCAGATGCAAGCGTGCTCTCCCAGCCAGGAGTGCCAGCACATCAGCCTCTCTAACAAACAAAGTAACCATTCTAGGTTCGGGCTGGGGTGCTGTGATAGCTTCTAGGGTAGATGTTTTGGGGGATAAATAAACTTGTTTGTACTTTTGAAATCACATATCAAAGTGGATGCTTATTCTCCCTACAAGCCCAATTCTGCCTGGGCAGGCGCAACCTACAAAGCCAATGGTACGTGCAGGTCACTGGCTGTTTTGCCAAACACGGCTTCTAAATGTCGTGGCATGTCCACCCACATTCAGCACGTCCACCCTTCTGCATGATATTATCAGTGTGCCGCTGAGACAAGCCTGTGGAAACCAAGCTGCACCCCAAGTTCCTTCTCGGCTGCCTTCATGCCACGTCTTTAATTTTACGAAACGGGGTATTTTTGAAAACAGCTCGTTAATTTAACACTGTAAAGCACCTAGTAAGTCATTTAGTAATTTACCGTCTGGTTATCACAGCTAGAGCTTAAATTACTTACGTTATGCCCTTTCAAAGGCAGAGTGATACGGAGGATGAGCAGAGAGGTTGAGAGAGAGGGTGATGTTGGAAGCACGCATTTTAAGAACAGCCTGTGCTGTCACATCCTGGGGGAGGTGTACAATGCGACGCGGACGCACACACGCACACCACACGCACCCACAAATCATCACCTCCATCAACATATAGGTCTGTGCATATCCTGGATGGAAATAGTGTTGCTCTCCAAAACATTTTTTAAATATCTTCTGTGTTTTCAAGACTCTGTCAACCAACAACGTTTTCACGGCTTCCCGTTGGTCCGGCTTGGTTCCCCAAGCCCGTCTTTGTTTAGCGACATGGGCTTCAGACCACCCTCCTCAGTTTGGGAAACCGCATGCCTTAACGTTGCGTTTTGCAAACGTGCGTGGCCGTCGCGTTTTTTGTCACTCGTGTCGGAAAAGGTGACTGTGTTTTGCCAGTTGGCGTATGTATCAGGTAAACAGTGGCCGTTCTGTCATGGGTGGCAACCCCTTATGAGGGTTCTGGACTCTGAGTCGCCAAGCCCCAAACACAGGCGCCCAGCGCACCTGAAACTGAGGCGTTGCTGTTTAACCAGCGCGCAGCGTGATCTGATATGAGGTCGGACCTCAGCTGGGGACACAAGAACATGGACAAAAGTGCGAGCTGGGATGCAACGGACGGGGTGAAAAGACAGGGTGACAACACAACATGGTTCTTGTGTCTCCTTTGACATCGTTCATGTCAAAGACCAAGCCTCCCTCATGAGGAGGGTTCTCCTCACCTTCAGACAGCTACCCCATTAGTCTCCGTAACCAGCCGGCTCCTAAGTGTCCCAAACTATCAAATCACAGAGCTTCCATTTACATAGGGCCAGCCACTTACCCATGAAGAAGTCCATCTCCTCCACATTGTCGCCGTATAAGCCATGCTGGCTGGTGCCAATGAATGCCTCCGTCGTGGGGAGGGGTTCGTGAACATGAAGAAAAGAGTAAAACAGCAGGAAAGGTCCTTCACGGTTCCTGGAAAGACACCAGTCACGTCACTTATGAGTTTCCAACCTGGGGGGACACTTTCTTTGGCGTACAGACACAGCCCCTGCCTTTCCCTCCGTGCCCCGTGAGAGGGGGCCCACGCAAAAGGCAGCCCCTTTGAAAGACCATCCTAGCCAGACTGGAGTCCAGAACCCTCCAGCGTCTGGACTGTCCCCCCCAATTTGGGGGTGAGACCACCGCCGTTCCTTTCACTCTCAGATGCCAAGAGATGTGCTGGACACCCACTACACTTGGAAGTCACCACAGAGCTATAACTCAAGTCCAGCTCTGGGTGACACACTTTCCAATGGCCTGTGAAGTCTCAGGCCGGGGTCACAGCTGAAGAAACACAAAGGATTGCCTCATGAGAGCGGCTGGTTAGAGACATCAACCCTTTCACAACCCCAGAGCAAGCATGGGCAGAAACATGTTGGCAAGCCATCCTCACACCTTTGCTCCCCTTGGGAGGTCATAGGAAAGCAGCTTGAGTCATTTCAACCCTGACCATCTGTCTGCAAGAAAGGCAGGTCCTCCGCGAGGCAGGGCAGTGGACAATACAGTGCCGCTCTTGGGGAGCTCTCGGCTCTGGGGAGCTATCAAAGTGTAACAACGGGGAAGCAAAAATGGAGAAGAACAACAACAGAAAAAGAGTGTTCCCAGCGCCCCGTGTGGAACGGTGTCCCTCCAACACAGTCCACCTGGAAACTCAGAATGTGATCTCACTAGGCTGAGGTTGTGACGGGGATGGGTGGGCTCTGAGTCCCATAACCGGGGCCCTTGTAGGAACATGGCTATTAGGAGACACACAGACACACTCAGGGGTTAGACGTTAGGTGAAGAGGCAGCAATTGGAGTGACGCAGCCACGCTCCGGGGGACACCGCGGATGGCTGCTGAACGTGGGAAACCGTAAGAGACAAAGACGCACGGTCAGAGGGGTCAGAGCCCTGGACTCGGCCCTTGTGGTCCGCAGACCTGGGAGAGGGTACATGTCATCTGGCTCACGTCACCAGTTTGGGCGACTTTTTTTTAAGGGCAGCCCTAAGACACTATCACACATGCTGATGAGGAGTGAGTTTTTTATAGGATACATTGAAAGGGGGGACACTGAGAAATAAGAGAAAAGGGAGCTGGTGGGTAGAGAAAAACACGACGAATGTCCATTCTGTCATCTCAGCTCCCTATGTGTCTTTGTAAAGGGGGGGTCGCCCAAGACAGTTTGCTATCTTACACTTGGCTGCATTGCACTGAGTCCCTTTCAGAAAGAATGCCATTCTGGAAACCTAAATCAGTAACAAAAGAGGGACACTTCACACGTCTAGCACTGTAAAGTTTTTTTAAAAAATCACTTAGCATTCTTAATGAAGCTACCGAAATAAAAAGTTATCTCGGGGTGACCGGTTAGCTCGGGTGGTCGGAGCGCAGTGCTCATAACACCAAGGTTGCCGGTTCGATCCCCACATGGGCCACGGAGCTGAGCCCTCCACAGCTAGATTGAAACAACTACCTGACTTGGAGCTGACGGGTCCTGGCAAACCACACTGTTCTCCAATTAAAAAAAAAAAAAGAAAAGAAAATGAGTTATCTCAAAGTGGGTGGCCCAAATACTGTCTGACCTCCAAGATGTCCACACCTTCGTCCCCAGAAACTGTGACTATGTCACCTTACACGGCAAAGGGCACTTTGCAGATGGGACTCGATCATGGACAACGAGCAGGCTCTCCCCTAGAACCGCCAGAAGAAACCAGCCTTGGCAACGTCTTACCTTTAGCCCCGTAAAGTTAATTTCAGGTTTCTGAGCTTAAGAACCACAAGATAATCAAGCTGTGTTGTGCTAGGCCCCTAAGAGGGTGGCAGCGTGTCACACGAGCCATAGGACACTCATGCACTCAAGTCCTCCCCGGAGCAGTCCCTAGGACCAGGAACCTGAGTCACCCGCGTGTGCTCGCATTGCTCAGCGACGGAGGAGCTTGTAAACCTGCAGACTGCCTGCCCACCGTTCTTTGCTCTTCCCTTTCGAGATTGAGTCATATTAGACCTTGGAAGACTCAGCCGAGGTGTGGGTGACTCCAAGCCCATTTCCACACCGACGTGTTTTAAGAATGGCTAATGTAAAACAGTCAGCTCCACTGTGGAGGAGTGTTTCCAGGTGAACTGGCTGACAGAATGGAGCAGGTGACTCACTGTCAGCTTTTGGAGACGTGGAAGCCATCTGGCAACAAGGCTGTGGTCCCTGCGTCTGTCCCTCTTCCTACAGATCGGCACCTTTGGAAGACCAGCAGTGAATAAAAGAGCTGGCCCTTCAGGAAACCGGCCGTCCAGCTGTATGCATTTACAATGCACATATAGTTCTGTTTCTCCCACACCCTCAATTTTCATTCTCTCCTTCCCCCCAACCCCCCCACCCCAGGCTACGGCACAAGGACAAGGGTAGTGATCGGGTGACACGAAACCTTTCCATCCTCGATCAAGACACTGACTTTTCCCCTCGCCTTTGCGGACTCCTCATATCTGTTAGGCACAGCTGAATAATAGCCTGTGCCAAGACCGAATTACTCACAGAGCCTTGCAAACACTTTTCGCTTTGTGCTTCAACGTCTGCCGGTAAGGCCAGCCCACTCTTCCCTTCGTCTTCCTCTTACTCATCTTTGAAAAGGCAGCTCAGAGATTGTTTTTGCAAGTGTGTTGCTTCCCAGGTTGAGTACCTTGGAAAGTCCCTCGAAGACGGAGAGATAGAACCCCAGGTTTACAACCATTACCCCTATTTCCTGCCATGTGCACGCGCATCTGCTGGCGACGCTCAACATGAAGTCATGCTTCAAATCTGGATACCAGGATGGCAACCGATCGAGATAAAGCCTCAACGGGTGTGGAAGGAGCATGCAAAAAAAATAAAAATGTATCCACAGCCTTTTTCTACAAGAAGGTCCAAAAATGAGAGGACGGCGCACGTCATTTGCTCAGAAAGCTTCCAGCCCTTGTGTTCTGAACCTGGGCAGCTTCGCAATGATCCAAATAGATCCTCACCTATCACGTGGGCAATGATAAGCCCTTGGGATCTCATCTCTACAGTCAGATTTTCCCTAACGGGGACACATTGCATCGGCCAGGGTAGGCTAGTGTCTACTTCCCTGGCGAATATCTGCCTCCCTGTAAACGAATGTTCTGGCGATATGCATTGTCAATGAATAAATAAGAGTCATGAGTTGGAGGCGAGTGGGAGCCTGCCTGCCTGCCTGGACTGATCAAATGTGAATTTCAAGGCCAACAGAGAAACTGCGACTGTAACCACAAGGGAAGTCATCCAAGGACCATTCCTGTAGGCATGGCCTGAACAGACCAGGTTGCCCTCCAAAACCCATCGTATTCCTGTGCCGAGCCCAAACATCGATGGTGTTTAGCCGTCCTCCATGTCTCAACTCAACAGGGCTCCAGTCATCACCTCTTACCAAAACAAACAAACAAACTCATGCTTTCATCGACCCATAGATTTTTTTTTAGAAGAAAATTACCTTTACCTTTCTAAAAATGAAACCGCCTCTTTCATCATGATGGTCTCAGCCCTGTCTGCCTTCATGGGCTGTTCAGTAATCTCGTCTTCTCGCATCATGATACAGTTCCAGTACAGGCCAGACGTGTAGCTGGAGAGCCAAAAGTAGCCCAGCAGGAAAATAAAAAGGGCCATTAACAGCATGAGGAACCAGGGGACGCAGAGCCAGCCAGTCAGTCTCCCTAAGGCGAGGGTTAAGGCAGTGACGGCAATCAGCTGCACGCAGACGCAGACTCGGTGGGTGATGGCCAGTTCCGCGTCGCGTGAAGGGTCCGGCCAGCAAGGATTGTACAGGCTGAACGGCAAGCCGTAGTAAAAATCAAACCCATACTTATGAGGATGGTGGGCGTGGTCGCCTCTGTATCGGCTGTTTAAGCCCTGATGCCATTTGCCTGAAAGGAAACACAGACACGCACACAAGGCGTAAGAGACTCACACGTCCCCAAGGTGACGTGATTGTTCTTCGTGTGAGACCATCAGCTCACGTACAGCCACAGGGTAACAAGCACTTTTCCTTTCCTTAAAGAATCTGAGCTCAGCACCATCTCCGTTCTGGGCTCTTCTTTAGTTGGCAGACGCTTGCGTTAAGATCTGGCTGTGAGCGAATAGGTAGAGTGAAAAATAAAGGGGACAGGGTATAACTGGGCAGTTTGTCATTCACAGAGAGGACAAGTCATAGTCACAAAGGTAGATCACAACACAGCCAAGGTAGAGTACAGATGATAGGTACATACGTAGGTAGATATATATCAGATAGCGACAGAAATATGAGAAAAGGTGGGTGGATGGATGGAAAGATGGAAGACAAATACATAGATAGATAGATGATAGATGATGGATAGATAGATAGATAGATAGATAATAGATGATCGATAATAGATACGTAGATAGATAGATGATAGATAGATTAGATAGAGAGATAGATAGATGACAGATAGATAGATAATAGATGATAGATAATAGATACGTAGATAGATGATAGATAGATAGAGAGATTAGATAGAGAGATAGATAGATTAGATAGATAGATGACAGATAGATAGATAGATAGATAGATAGATAGATAGATAGATAGATAGATAGATGATAGATTTCTGTTCAAAACTCCACTAAGATATCTTCTCTCTTATCAATGTCAGATTAGTAACAAGAATTGAAGGGACCTAAACTGTCACAGTCTCCTCATGCCCATTGAAACCCAGTCCCCTGAAACTCGTGCCTGAAAAGGAGGACTAGGTGGCATTTACAAAGGAGCGCGGGTGTGCGTGCAGGAAGCGTCATTGCTATCATGGGTCCCAGGTGAGCCCAGCACAGTGAGGAGAGTGTCCTGCAGGGTCCCTGAGAAGGCTCCTGTGACAGGTAACAGCTTCACCTTGCATGCTAAGGTAGGACGTGGCCACTGAGATAGCACCTGTGGCCATGCAGACAACACAGGACCGCCTCTGCCACAGCCCAGAGGATAACTGGCTTTAAAACAAAAGTCTTCCCAGAAAAGAGTCATTCAAAAATAGAACAAGGTATAGCGTGACTTGATAGACAAAGGGTGACACCCACGGTGGCTTCTTACCGATAAGAGCTGTGCTATAGCCTTCCTTCTTGGCTAAGGCTGCAAATGTCGTTTCATTAACAGGGAGTCCGCCAGGGACGCCAAGGGAGTGGATGACACGGTTAGTTGTATTAGAAGTCATGCCTAAACGTGGTGTGAAAACAAACACACAAAAACAAAAAAAACAGCAACACACAGGATGAGTAAGTTAGGTGCCCACCAGACGCAGAAGAAAACAGACAGACCCTCTCGGGCACAGAGGTAGGGAGTCGGTGTGCTAGGAAGGGAAAGCCCTTCTTTAGGGGAAGAAACCCTTTTCGCCAAAGCAGAGCGCACGCTGGCCGGTGACACAGACCCCCTTTAAACCCTGACGTACACACCCGCTATCAGACACACACAAACACAGCGGCTGGAAAGCGCTCTCCACAGAGCCGCCTGCGTTTTTCCGGGGACGCAGGGTGGTACTTCCATAGACCACCGCTGGCCGGACCTCGAAGCGGTGCCTTCCCTGAGCTGGGGCATCCACAGGTCGGAAAACGAGTCCAAAACAGAAATCTCGTCAAATTTTCAAACTCAACTGCTTCTGGAGTAAAGCGTTGTGTTTTTTTGGTGTTTTTTTTTTGTTTGGTTTTTTTCTGACAATAGGATTGAGTTCTATTTGTAGTAAAAAATGTTTAAGCTCAGTTCCTGTTCAAAACCTGAAGTTGGGAAGGGAAGGCAGTTTCTGGATGTCTTATAACAAAACTGGGTGCCAAGTAGCTGGGGACCAGCCACCCTGAGACCCAACACCTGTCATTTTTAGGAAAGGAGCAAAAAAAAAAAAAATAGGAGCAGATTTTTCAATTAGTCATCAGGTGTCCTGGGGGTGTAGCTGAAACTGGGGGGACTTTGCTCAACCCCACTCAGGGAGCGGAGAAAAAAATTGGGTGTGACAGAACCAAGTAGGTAAAAAGAAAAAAAAATCCAAATAAAAATGGGAGAGCAGATTAGGGCAGGAGCTCTCGGATAGCGAGCTGCCGTCGTGTTAAATCTGATGCAAAAGAAAACTCCTTGAAATTAGATTTCTTTAAATACCATACCATCTATAGGAAACACACCTCCTTCTGAGAGGGCAGGAGAACTAGTTTTACAAAAAGTGAGCAACAAAGGCGGGGGGAGTCAAGTCAGAAGCAAGTTCACTATAAGAAGAAAAACAACAAGAGATAATAAATACCTTGAGTTTTCCTAGACCCAATGAACTTTATGACGGGCTAAGGCAGACATTGCAAACCTCATGCAATGGCAAAGATTCCACGACACCCACCTTAGCCAAAGGAGCGTCTCAGTCTTACCTAAAAGTTAGACATCCATACTGACCTTCGAACGGTATGCCCTGCTTGGCCTCAAACTATGGGCTCTGTGCTTATAAACGAAGCCCTTTAAAAATATAACCATAGGGGCCGGCTGAGTGGCTCAGTTGGTTAAGAGCTCGCTCAAGAGTGTGAGCTCTGAGCAACAGCGGTTCAATGCCCGGCCCGAGCTGAGCTGCCGCTGAGCTGCCAACAGGCGGCAGGAGGGCTCAGCTAAAAAAAAAAATTATATATATATATATCCATAGGACTCAGCCATTCCACTCCTAAGTGTGTATCCAAAAGAATTGAAAAGTCATGTCCAAGCAGAGCCTGTACAGGCACGTTTCCAGCAGAACTATTTATAATAGTCGAAAAGGCAGAAACAAGTCACAGGGACGTAATGTACAGCATGGGGAATATAGGCAATAATATGGTGACAACCTGGTAAGGTGCCAGGTGGGGACGAGACATAGCATAGTGATCCCATCTTTAGGTCTGCAAATGTTGAATAACTAGGGTGTAACCCTGAAGCTCATATAATATTGTGTGTTAGCTATAGTTCCAAAAAAAAATTGTTTTTAAGGAAAAGAAAAAGAAGGCAGAAACAGCCCACGTGGTCCCCCGGCAGATCGGTAGCTAAACAAAACGGCTAAAATGAGGTGATACAGGTTTGGGACATTCTCGTGGCCACTTTCTCATGAGAGCCAGGCTCCGTTCATTATTGCCTCGCAAGGCAGTTTCTCGTTCCAATCCTGGGGCAGAACCTCAAGCGCAAGCCCGGTCACGGGCCATTGAGAAAAAAATGTCACTGTGAGGTGACAAGATGACAAGACATGACTAAGGAGCACACAGGGTGATCTTACATCCAAAAGCACCGTAGTGAGTCTCCTAGTGACATCAGTGGTCGCGTACCCAAGTACGCGTGTATGTTCGCGCTTTGGAACTTTCCAGGAGTGGCCGGGCTACGATTTTGTCCCCTGCCACCCTCACAGGGCAGCCGACGACGTGGGCGCTCACACACCTGTCCGGATGGGGTATCTGCCGGTGAGGAACGCGGACCTGCTCGGGGTACACAGCGAGGCTGCCGCTATGTTTTGCTTCAGCTTCACACCTTCTGAAGCCAAGCGGTCAATGTTTGGCGTCCTGAGAAGAGAAACAGAGGGGACACTGGAGAAGGGTGCAGGCAGGAGAGACAGAGACAGCAAGAGACAGACCGAGAGGGGCCCGAAGGGAAAACCCTCCCTTCCCTACAATTCCCTGAGCTCAGGCGGGGTCAAAAGCTACCTTGCGCAGCAGGTTCATTCTCTGTCTTTATCCCCTGTCACAGGGACTGTAGGTCTCAGCCTGCTGTTGTCAATCACAGGATTGGAATCATTTGATTCTATGGTACCGTGTCTACCGAGTAGAGTACTACCTTTTAAGTTATAGACTGAAAATGCACAGGGTGCCTCCCAAAAATGTGTGCACATTTTAAGGGAGGAAAGCTGCGTAAAAATTGCCATACTCGATATATACCGATAACAGAAGATGAACACAAGTCCCGTGTGACGTCTGCAATGACAAGAGGTGCTCAGAGTGGTTCCCATCGGCATCCAGACACTTCTGATGACAGTGAACCACGGCTTGAGGGACGTTGACCAAAGTTTCCACTTTTTTTTTTGGCACCCCCGGTGTTTAAGTGTTTCTGGCCTCAGTCATTAAGGCTAAGGACATAGAGGCCCTAGTTCTGCCTTGATCTTTATACATCAAAGGATGAATACAAGTGACATGTTTGATAGGTAAAGCTCTTTTCTCTGCACACAGGTTGCAAAACCGCCACATGACCAAACATGAAAATACCCAGAGATTAAAGAGAATGAAAGAGAGCCTTGGGCGGGTGACGAACACTTGCCCCATTGGATGAAAATCAAGCAAAATGAACCTAAATCAAACAAAATGGACTGTGGTCCACCTTCCGACTTCACCACGGCGTTTTTTTCTGACCCTTCATTTAAAGCGGAGAACCACTTGTAAAGAAATAAGTTGTTTGTAAACAGCCTTTCTGGGCTGTCCCTGCGTCCTTTTAGATTTTCCCCATTATGACCTCTCAACGAACTGGCATTTTCAGCAAACCGTGTACGCCCAGCTCTGCACACTGCCCGCATATATGAGCTCACTATTTTTTAATGACCCTTCTTCGGAGTCCTAACTCATCTCCTCAGAAGCAATAATTAGTTTTGCCATCACGTGCTTTCATGACCATCTCTCCACATGTCCGAAGTTTTCTTACCAAAAGCACAGAACAGTGGCTTTGGCTTCTGTGAGTGACACAATCATACCAGCTTTGATGTGCACGAGCCATGCACCTCACCAGGCGCTACTCCTAACCTGTGCATGGGCACAGCCCACACAGATGGCTTTTAACACCCGCCATAAAGTGCTGAGTTTCAGCGTCACGTTTGTTTTGCTTCTTTCAGAACGTCCCTTGCCAAAAGGGAAGGATGTCACCTTGAAAAGGCTTTCAAAGAGAGAAAGCACGGAATGATTCATTCTTGCCGGGTAAAAATATATGTAAAAACCACAGCTTGCTGTGATAGCCTACATCTTATCGCGAGCTTACTGACCACGTGCCAGGTGACCACTTAGCACCCTACGTAGGTGAATTCACAGGTACGGACCATTCACCTGGGCTCTCAGCCCATGGGGAAACCGAGGCACACAGCGCCGACATAACTTGTCCAACGTACTCCAGCTCTTAAGGGCAGAACCAAGATGCCAATCAAAACAGTCCCGAAATTAACATCCCTTAACATCGTTTCTTTCTTTCTTTTTTTTTTTTTAGGAAAAAGAAAATACAGCAAATCCATCTGGTGCTGCATGTAGACGCAGACATAACACATGTCAACCGGCCACGCCTGAACGATTGGTAAAAAAGTATGATCCAATACGTAGCCTTACCTCACGGTATCGTTGCCATAGCAACCCAGGTCTCCGATGCCCAGGTCATCCACCATGATAAGGACGATGTTAGGCTTGTCATCAGTGACACCGTGTGATTGGCACACGCTTAGAAGTAACCACATCCAGGAGAGGGACACCAGCCGGCTCCTGAAAGACAAGTATGGACCTTAATGGAGACACACCCATCTGGATGGCTTCAGGCGGCCGCTTCCACGGCCACGCCACCGTCTCTGAATGTAATGGGGTTTTCAGCCTGGAGTCTGAAGACCGACTCCATCCCCCTCAACCTTTCTCTCCATCCCAACTCAAGTCCCGTTTTCTCGAAGAAACACATAAATTCTCATGTCACTGGAGCCTTACTCAGTTATCAGGTAATGGATATTTCAACCATTGCTTCAATCTCGATTTTGTGTTTATTCGGACCGTAAAACCCACCTGAGATGTCTTCACTGGGAGGGAGCAGACAGACTCACTGACCCCCATTTGCCCCCAGAGCCCTTTATTGATACTCTGAAACCAAGCTGGCCCCACAAGATCACAACTCCTTTCCCCAAATGTTTCCCCAAAAACTGTGCCTTTCTCGAAGACAGGAGCCAGTCGCTCAATTCTTTCCCTGTTGCCAAATCACAATCATTACAGACACGCTTTTCATCTGCCCGAAATGGATGGAGGTGCTTTTCTCACCCGGTTTTTACAATACTTTAACATCATACAGGTGTCTTAGAAACGCCCCGTTTATATTTGTATCAATTGCGTGTAAATCTCTCCTGTGTTTTTTTTTCTTCATTCTAGACTTGCCGAACCCAGGCTATCAACTTAGATACCTGAGGGCCAACCATCTAAAGAAGACCTGACGTGGCTTGCCTCTGGCTATGAAGCTCAGAGCGGAAAATGTCAGCAACTTGCCCACACGTGTGAGTGTCTCGGTCGTGGGGCTCATGAATTACCTGAGCATCATTCTGTCGCCCCGCGTAGCTTCCTATGTCCTTTGGTCAAAGACAGAAGGTCCTGAAAAGAAAACCGGGTTATCTTCATGGGTATTAAGTTAGCTTCCTGCTGTGAAACGCTCACTGACTTGGGGAGCCATTTCTCTCTGCTTCCAACATTTCAAAACTGGTTTTCTGACTCTTCAGGAGAACAAAGCGTGAGCTGAAAATGATTTTGCTCTGTTGGCCCATTTTTGGAAAGCGTGAGCTGTGCCAGCTCCTGCGGCTATCTGGCTCATTTAGGCGGTTGAGTTAATTGGCTCCAGCGCTTAAGCCTACCCGAAAACATGCCTGGATGACAACACCGTCCGTCCCAGCGAGCTACTTAACATAACAGTTTAAAGTCAGTACGCCTGCATGGAATGAATTCGGAGCACCCGGAAAAGAGGAGATTACTTGAATCTACCTCCTTTGCCTCTCCCCCATTCCAAAATGTGGATCACTGAATGGTGATTTTAGGAAAGTTCATGGTTGTCTACAGTTGGGGAATTGGGGCAGGATAACCCAGTGATAGGATGGCAACATCTACTGCAGTGAAAGAAAAGAAACAACCATCTTCCGTCTGCAAGCTATCGCTTCTCTCTGCACCTGAGAGGACCGCGGACAACATGATCCTAACCTCGTCCTTCATAAATCCATCTTGCTCAAAAGCAAGATAACAGAAAACACACACACACACACACACACACACACAAGAGCTATTGGCTTAGAAAAGGAAAGGAAGGAAAAAAGAGAGACATGATCCAACAGAAACTGCTTTGGAATCAACTTCTAGGCTGACCCAGTGAGTTCTAGAAAACAACCACAGGAGCATCTAAATTTTGGAGCCCCTCAATGCCACCTGTTACAACAGAGAGAAAAACAAAAGGGCCAAGAATGTGTGTACTCAGGCATCTTCTGTAGACCCCAATAAAAGCAGAACCACACCCCTATTCTCTCTCTCTCTGTCTCTCTCTCTGTCTCTCTGTCTCTCTCTCTCTGTCTCTCTCTCTCTCTCTCTCTCTCTCTCTCTGTCTTTCTGCGCCTAGGGCTTAATGGGTGGTCCCAGCTGTGCTATGTCATTTCCAGGTCTCCTAAGTAATAAACCTTTATTTCTTTCAAAGTGTCCTGGTGGTTATGTCCTGGCGAAAGGGCATCCTGCCTTCATCGTAAGAACCACAAGGGCCGGTCCCAACAGGACACTGGTCATTGATAAGCTGAGACCAGCACAAGACGCCTCCCTGCAACTCACCGTGTGCCAGCGGTGCCGTCCACCCGAGGTCTAGCATGGGACACAAAGGCTGTCCTGAGGAGCTTTTGAGTCTCCTGGAAACGACCCAGGATCTCCGGCTGAAGGGTAGCCTGCACCAGCACCCTCTGTTGTGGGAGAGCAAATCTGCAAGGTGCTCACCTAGTAATTATGCTTAGGATATGCAAATGAGGTCATCTGCACCCTAATTTGCATGCCCTTTTTCCCTATCCCAGGAAATAGAACAACAATGACATTCAGCAAAACACCTGCAGCCTTCCAGCACCGGCAGAGCATTTTTTTTATACGTGGCTATCGCCAAAGTGACTCACCAAGAAGCCGTCATGAGGGCCGGCTCTTGTAAGGATGAGCCACGAACAGCTTTGAGTGCAGCCATTGGACCAGAGCAAACCGTGTACCTCACAAAAGCGCAGAAAGTACAACATCCTTGCTGGGATTAGATGTGAATTACGTTTAGCAAGACAGATGACGAAGAAGGACTGGGTGGCTGAATGTGTGTCACCACCACGCCCCAGAGGGATTGCTGTTAAAGAATGAATAAACCAAAGTGAGACAGCCTCCCTCGTAGCATCATATATACAGATTCAGGCATATATTAAAAAAGAAAAAAAAAGGCATCTCACAGCCATCAAAAAGTTCATCAGCACCCAGGCAAACCAACCAGACCCGTTTTCTCTGTGGATTAGCTGCGTATATTGTCACCCTGCACCCCTCTGTCACCAAAACATTGCTTATTTGTTTGTTTGTTTCTTAAGGTGGGGTGTTGTGTTATGAGAACTACTCTGGGGGGGGGTGTCCCAGGAACTGCACGTAGCAGATCCCAGACTGTCACACCAGACGCCCAGGTATCTCTAGGTCAACACCCTTTGACTCAAACTTTTCATCGGGATTCTATGAAAACACCAAAAGGACACGTCAAGATGGTTTGAACCCATTCTCCGGAACGAGGGCCGCAGAGGGCATATGAGTTTTCATCCTCGACGACAAACTCGTCTTAGATACGGGTCCCCCATGGCCCCTCCACAACACGCCAGCTGAAAATGTCACCTGCGTATGAATTCAAGGATCCTTTTTCCCCAGCTTCTGGGGCTTTCTTGGTACATTTTGTGTCTTGGCGGGGTGAGCCTATTTCACTTGGTGGGGTTCTCAGGGTCCTTCCCTACATCCCAGAAAGGTTTTCCACTCTTGTCCCCTGGATGATGGCAGGGTAGTCAAGGTCACGGTTGCCCTTTGATTTCTTCACAGGCGTTATTATACAAGCCGCACTCTTAGGGACTGTCCCTAGCCACCTTCCCTGAAAATTTCAGGTGCTTTCCCCACCCCCCACAACCACCACAATTATCAGGTGGCGAGAGCTTCGCAAATTATAAGTCACACAGAATCAGATACTTGTGCCCTGCTTGGAAGTGAAGGCAGTGTTAGATCACAGGTAGTTACTCAAGTGGTTCAGATGGGGAAGATAGCTCCCGTCCAAAGACAACAAACAAGCACAATCCCTTCTTGTCCTCCTACGTAAAAAAGAAAAAAAAAAGCCTATCGATATCCAGATTCAGCAAACCCATCACAGATCATGCTACAATAGTCTTGACGGAAAACGTGCAGACTCCCACCAAATGTTGGAGGACTATCTTTTCCACCTGGGGGTGCCGAGGGGAGCAAAACGTCATCCATGCCATGAGTTTTTCCTCCTGCACTGAGAAAAGGACTGATTCCTGCAGCAGACGTCCGAGTTCGAAGCCAGCTTGGAATCACGCCTTGTTCCACAGAGTCTTCAGACCCACATCAGGAGACAGATGTCGCCACAAGGACAGGCAAGAACGGATTTCAGAGGAGACGTTTCATGCGTCCAGGGTTGACGTGACGATACGGATGACCACGTGCAAAGATGCTCCCTGGGGTGATCGGGTGGGCTCTTAGGAAAGAAGACATTTGGGCTGAAGTCTTGATAAGGTGCACTTGGGGCAGCTGAGAGGGCGGGGGTGAGAGAACAACAGCTACAGGCGACAGCTGAACGCAGCGAGGGCCATAAGATTCTGCAACCTCGGATGTCGTCAGGAAGCACTTGGATGCTGGCTGCCAGCGCAGACAAGCTACTGCGGGATTCATGCCAGGGATGACGACACGCTGCCTCCTGTTTGCAGAAAATCTGTGCTCTGTTAGCATGAATTATGGAGGCGACGTGAGAACTGGGGGTCAGATGGGGTGCGCTGCCGTCAGGGGGAGCTGGGTTCTTTGCTGGAGAAGCCCACGGGGCGCCTGTCACAGATCCGTGAAGACGCTGACCAATATTGCAAACTCAAGGAGAACCAGGATGCCTCAAGGGCACAGTAGGGGGACCTCGGCATCTCCTGTAGGAGGGGGTTCGTTCCAAACCAAGAGCGCAGGCCAGGAAGTGAACGCACGTGTCGCTACAGCCCTCACCCTGGCTGATGGACCGGGATAGGGTAGAAAATGACGCCCTTGTCTCAGGAGAGCACACGGAGGCGCGCTTAATGAAGCTACGACCTTCCACGTCACCCCCAGTGCTTGCAAATGTCCTGTTAACTTTGAACTTCAATTAAACAAATGATATATACATGTACACGAGGTCTGACAATTAAGTTTGAGAACTCGTTGCAATGATGTTGCTCACCTTTTTTTTTATACCAGAGGGAGGATTCATTATGAATTTGTACCCACTGGACACAGGGTGCCCCAAGTTGACTATTTGGAAGTGCTGAAAAGACTGCGTGAAATAGTTAGACGACCTGAACTGTTCGCCAACAGTTCATGGCTCTTGCATCACGACAATGCACCGGCTCACACGGCACTGTCTGTGAGGAAGTTTTTAGCCAGGAAACAAATCACTGTATTGGAACACCCTCCCTACACACCTGATCTGGCCCCCAGTGACTTCTTTCTTTACCCGAAGATAAAGGAAATATTGAAAGGAAGACATTTGGATGACATTCAGGACACCAAGGGTAATACAACGACAGCTCTGATGGCCAGTCCAGAAAAAGAGTTCCAAAATTGCTTTGAAGGGTGGACTAGGCACTGGTGTCGGTGCATAGCTTCCCAAGGGGAGGACTTCGAAGGTGACCATGGTGATATTCAGCAGTGAGGTAGGCAACACTTTTTCTAGGATAAGTTTGCTAAGTTAATTGTTAGAGTTTGTGTGTGTGTGCGCGCGTGTGTGTATTTTACTCCATGTATGTCCCAAATATTGCTTAGGAAACTTACACTGAGAGACAGCATTTGATGCTCAACTGGAAATCAAATCTAACTGCACATTTGGTGTCATGCCTCTACACACAGATAATCCATGGTTTTAATAACTGAGGTCAGGTTTTAAAATTTGCAGACTACACCCAGCAATCCCTCTCCTGGGCATCTATCCAAAAAAACCTGAAAACATTTATCTGTAAATATATATGTGCTCCGATGTTCACTGCGGCTTTATTTACAGTGGCCAAGACATGGAATCAACCAAAGTGTCCTTCGACAGATGATTAGATAAAGAAGTTGTGATATATATACACAATGGAACACTACTCTGCCATAAGAAAAGATGAAATAGTGCCGTTTGCAACAACATGGGTGACCTTGAGATTACCACGCTAAGCGAAATAAATCAGACAGAAGAAGTCGAGAGCCATAGATTTCACTGATATGTGGGATATAAAACTGAAAGCAACAAAGGAACAAGACAAACAAAGAAAGAAAAACTCATGGACACAGAGAACAGTTTAG